GTAACAAGAAAAGCGAGACAACACACAAAAAGCTGCGCGTCCATTGTGCGGCAATTTTTGCAACTCGAGGGAACTAATCGGCGGAGATCGGAATCGTCACCTGCGCGAGACGCGAACGGCGATATTTCAACGCACACGTCGCTTTAATTGCCGAATTCGGAGCTAGACAATGTCGCTCTCGGCTAATGGCCAAAGCCACCTCTGCTCTGCCTGTGTGTGCTTCGAATTCAATAACAACGCAAACCGCATTAGCGAGCACTGACTGAGGTGCTCTTTGTCCCGCCGTCGAGATGAGAGACAGTAAAAAGCAGCAGCCGCACCCTGGCATCTTTTTCTTTCTTTCTTTTTCCCTACCCCATGCTTGCTCCTGCTTTTACCGTGCGCGCGACGCACACGCACGGACTGCTTGGAAACAAAACTAATTAGCGAGATCAAGGCCTGAAAAATAACCTTGTTTTCTCTCCGCCGTGCCCGCGGGCGTTGGAACAAGTGAGATGCTTTTCGGCGGCATCTCTGATGCCAAAACTTACACACACACACACAATTAGAAGAAGTCTCCTTTTGAATTTTTTGCAAGTGGAGGTTTTTGACAATTGTTCATTGCTTCAACATATTTCTTCAAATTTTATAATTAAACAAATTTACATTTGAAAGTTATTATATAAATACATTAACTAATGAATGCCTCTTCTATCAATTGAGAAAAAAAAATTGACTCATTTATCTCATTTTTAAGAACAGCTTATAAATAGCCTATACAATTTGCAGAAAGAAAGAAATTATCATTGTTTTTAATTAAAAACATTTACAACTTTCAAAGTGTTATTGGGTGTTATCGCCCACTGATTGTCTAAAAATTGTATTTTGTGCCTATATGGAGCAAAATTGCTCTACATCAAATCCAATAAATATAGATTCTGACAATAGAATATAAAAGTGAAGATCATTCACTTGGTTTATAATAAGAGTAATTATCATGGATACATTAATGTCATGGATTATATGGAATTAACATAACAAGACAAGGAAGAGCAACAAACATATGAAATTTTGTTTTACCACTTAAGCTACATTGAGTCATGGGTATATTTTTTTATTCATTAAATTTATATTTACCTAATAATTTAAAAAACCAAATTATATAATAAATTTATTTTATTTCTGAATACGATGAAAATAAATTTTAAATAAAAATGCTATAAAAGTAAATATTTAATGCAATAAAACTTATTTTTTGAATTTTGTTGCGTGAATATAAAACCAAAAGCTTAACATTTCAAATTCCAATTAATTTATTTTCATCGATAAACAAATTATTATTTTAATAAAACAACACCTCAAAAAAAATTATATAATTTTGTAAACGCATAGTTTGTAAGGTAAAAAGTTTAAGAATTGAATGTCTCTGGAGAAGACCCGAGTTAAAAAATTGCAAATAAATCTCTTCAGTGTAATTTCATATTCTCCTATTGAGACTCTCATTTTTTAATTTAAATGTATTTTCCTGAAAACCTGAAAGGAAGAATGAAATTGATTTCTAAAATAAATCAAACAAATGCCTTATTTGTCTAATTGCGTGTGTGTTTTTTTTTTAGTTTTTTTTTTATAAAATTTAAGCAGTTACAATTTTTTCTTAAAAGTCTCTTAAATTTCACGTATTTCACAATGGGTGCGTCCAGGAAAGATTTGAGGGTAAATGTCAAAAATTTTTCTTGAAAACATGCCATTCCAATTTTCAAGTATGTTGTTGGGGTGGTCAAGAGGCCTCGCTCACCAAATTTTCAAGTCAAAATAAGGGGTGCTTTTCCGGGAAATCAGATTTTTCCAAAAACAAAAAATATGGAATATCTTTGCTCCTATTGAGAAATTATTAATGATCTTTTCACTTCCAGACGTAACTTTTTACGCCCGACAACTTTTCTGTTGACAACTTTTGCGTAGGTCAAAGGTCAAGGTCACTAAATTGCAAATTTCACTTTCTGACGCAATTTTCGCAAAGAAGCACCCCTCAGAAATTTTTCGCAGTATAGGAAAAAATGTAGCCCCAAGTGTGTAGAACAACATCCTTGATTTCCAGAATGGCATTATTTTTAGTTTTTTAATTAATTTTAAATGAATATTAAAAAACAGTGAAAAATCGCTTTTCCGCAATAGAAAGTAATTTTCAAACAGCGATAACTGATTTTCTGTTAGAGATACGCAAAAATGTTATAGAACAAAAAGGATTTGTTTTGACTTTTTGCATCCAGCCATGTATTGTTTATACAGGTCAGATCACTTGGGGTCATTGACCTCAGTGACCTGTGACCTTAAAGAGCAGTTTACTGAATATTTGGCACATAGTTAAGAAGAACTATTTTATGGAATGGTTTTAATAAGCTCATTTCCCACAAATTATTTTTAGAGGTCACAGGTCACCGAGGTCAATGACCCCAAGTGACCTGACCTGTATAAACAACACATGGCTGGATGCAAAAAGTCAAAACAAATCCTTTTTGTTCTATAACATTTTTGCGTATCTCTAACAGAAAATCAGTTATCGCTGTTTGAAAATTACTTTCTATTGCGGAAAAGCGATTTTTCACTGTTTTTTTAATATTCATTTAAAATTAATTAAAAAACTAAAAATAATGCCATTCTGGAAATCAAAGATGTTGTTCTACACACTTGGGGCTACATTTTTTCCTATACTGCGAAAAATTTCTGAGGGGTGCTTCTTTGCGAAAATTGCGTCAGAAAGTGAAATTTGCAATTTAGTGACCTTGACCTTTGACCTACGCAAAAGTTGTCAACAGAAAAGTTGTCGGGCGTAAAAAGTTACGTTTGGAAGTGAAATGATCATTAATAATTTCTCAATAGGAGCAAAGATATTCCATATTTTTTGTTTTTGGAAAAATCTGATTTCCCGGAAAAGCACCCCTTATTTTGACTTGAAAATTTGGTGAGCGAGGCCTCTTGACCACCCCAACAACATACTTGAAAATTGGAATGGCATGTTTTCAAGAAAAATTTTTAACATTTACCCTCAAATCTTTCCTGGACGCACCCCAATGTAAGATAAAAATATGCAGAAATGAATACAAAACAAAAACAATGCTCTCAATTTGATTGCTCAATTTTTAGAGAGCTTTAAAGAAAGGGATGTTCCTAAATCAATCCATTATTTGACGAGAGCCATTGGCGAACGAGATTGAGAGCGGCGTTTGGGCCAAAGACAATGCACTGAGAGTATCGGCCACTCGAAATCGTTCACATTAAATAAAAGAGAGACTTTATTTCTGGCCACAATGATGTTTGGCGGTGATCAATAGAAACGGGGGGCGCATCTCTCTGGTCGCGGCGGCGGCGGGCAACACAGAGCGGCGGCGAGGCCAAGTGAGCGAGACAACCAATTTGGACGGGTGACTCACGCCGGTCGGACACGGAGCCTCGCGGGCCCCTCGCTCGCCGCCCCATCACTTCTTCTTCTTGCACCCGATCGACTCGGCGCCGCGACAATTAATGTTAATCACGGCACTTAAATTGATTAACATTGCGATACACGGCCCCGATAAGCCGCCGCTCGTTTAAATTATTTGGTGCTGCAGCCAATCTAGAGGAAATCGGCCCACCCGCCACCCACCCACCCACTGAGTGAGGTGATTTGCCCGCTTTTCTTCCCCATTCATTCCACTTTCCGCGAGAGAGGCCATATTTCGCCAGAGTAAATAAACCGCCCTATCTAGCAACGATTAACAACTCGCCGCCGGATTTCAATCTAACGCAACCCGCGCCCACCCTGCAGCGTTTTATTATAATATGGTGTTGAGCAAATTAATCGATTACCAAACTTGCTCGTAAGTTCAAAAGTCATAACTTGCAAAAGTATATATGTAAATTATATTAAAAAAAGTAAAAAAAAAAAATGTAGACAAAATCTATAAAAAGGATGGAGAAAGTTGAAAATCATAAAATATGGTTTTGATTTAATTTAAGTAATTTTAAATATACCGGATATGCGCATAATGCAAATAATTTATTAATTTAAAAAAAAAGAATAAATGAATCAACTAAGGCTAATTAAAAATGAGAATATATATTTTTCATTTGAATTTTTTAAAGAAAGGATGCAGGTTTTGTTCAATTATTTACATTTTTAAGTAAACAATTATTGGAAATATTAGTAACTTTATTTCATCTTCAAATGCATAAATTTGAATTAATTAATTTTGTTTTTGCTTTTTCAGCAAAATTAAATCTTATCACGGACTGCTTCATTCTTCTTTCATTCTGCTGTCAATTTCTTTGGTTAAACATTTGTTTTCTGCTCATCAAAACGCATCAAATCGCGTCTTTTCGGCTTTGTGCTCTCTTGCCATGATAAAAATCTGGATCTTCTTGCGGTGCGGCTACGTTTTGTTTAATTACACAACCGCAGCCATCCTTGAAAAGTCCATAAAAATCATCCGCGCGCAGAGAGGAATTTCTCGGAAACAAAATTTCGGGAAAATAATGCTGGATCGCCGCGAAAAATTGTTCTCGGCAGATTTATGGACAATGAAAAAGCAATAATCCTGCACTGAAGAAATTGGAATATTTCCAAATGTATGATTTAAACCCTCTCGAGTTTAATTGCGTCTTGTCCCCAGAAAAATATGTACATAAAAATGATAAATTCCATGGATTTTTCGGTCGTACCAAAATCGTGTCCAATTTTCGTCTGCAAGAGCGATGCAAATTAATAATTTTACGAACTCTTCCCCCAAAATATGGATGCAGTCGTAAAAAAATCTCTCTTGAAAATGATTTATGGAGCTGCCGGTGAGTTCATATATTCGTATTTTATATGAGAAGCAAACGACACGTACGTCTTTCTCTCTATGGCATATAAAAAAAAGAAAGGAAGAAAGAGCTTCGTCTGCTCTGCCTTTTTTCTATGCTGCGGGAGTCGTGCATGCGAGCGACGGCTGCGATGGAGGTAATTGATAAAATAGTAATAAAAAAGGAAGGGTTGTACTCACTGAAATCAATAAGTAGACGGCCGAATCCCTGTCGTTGATATGGAGGTAGCGTGAGGATGCAAGACACGTTGTAATTCAGAAAAGAGTTTTTCTCCTGCAACAAACATGAACACACAGCTTTATTAGTAACGAGATAGAGACAGAGAAAAAAAAATAAGAAGACACATCACGCCGCCTTTTCGCCACCGGCAACTCGGCAGCGGCGAACCCATATAAATTTGTATTATCGGCACAAATAGCAGTCAAACAGGCCAAATCCTCAGTAAATCCGATCTGTTATTGCGTTATTATTGGGTGGTGGAAACAAATTGATGGTGTATCACTTTTCCTCTACGCGTATCAGAAGTATTGCAGATTTGAAGGGATTTTTTCTTATTTACAATTTCTTTAATTATGTCATTATTTAATAAACTTCAATGATTGAATATTATTGTGTATTTTGTCTCTCTCTATTGTGGAAAAATATGTAACGTTTTAGCGGTTTTAGCAAAAATCACTACTTGAGAGATAAATCAACTAATGTGATAATTTAAAGTATAAATCATTCTCTTATATTTGTGTTTCGTGTTATCTCAAATCTCAAACTAACTTTTCACTTTGAATGAAAAAAAATACATCATTGAAGAATTAAATGCATCAGAAATTAATTTCCATTTAAATATAATAATATGTTCACAGGTGTAAGCACATGAAATGATATTAATTTGTTAATGATAGATATTAATTGCAAACAGGAAAGACTAAATTAATTTTTTTTATAATAAATACTATAGTTTTATCTTTACTTGCCTCTAAGCGTAACAAGCGTTAAAGGAAGTTGATTATTATCTAAAAAATTGCATTTAAAAAAATAAAAATGCTTTTATCACCAAAAATTTTATTAATTATAAAAATGTATAAACCTTAAAAAAATATTTTCTATATACATGATATAATTGGTACTGACAGAAGATATTATAAAATTAGTATTATTTAAACAACGAAGCTAAATTATTTAGCACTATGATGGTAATCCACAGTTATCTGATTATTTTATTCAGCTTCTTCTGTGGATTATAAATTTCATTTTGTCTTAAAATAGGACTGAGGTGTAGAAAGCAAATAGATAAATATTTTATTTATTTCATTAATGGCTTTCATCAATTCTAGAAGAAATCTTGAACTTTATTTACAAATTGTAATAATCGTCAGGATTAAAAATTGATTCTGCTTTATATTTTGAATAATAATTTTATTATAAAATTTTTATACTTATTTTTACCTTTTTTGTAGTCACCACGCAAAAATAAGCGCAAAATATATTAAATTGTAAAAAATAAAATGCATTTTATATTTAAAATCCACTACCCGGCCGACGTGGCGTCAGCATGCGGAGAGGAACGGCGGTCGGTGGCACCAACAGTTTTTGCAGAAACAGAGCCGCTCGCTGTGAGTGACACAAACATAATATGCAAATGACACGAGAGATGCAATCCGGGGCCAAATAAATGCGAGACCGAGATTGCATTGTGTTTCGTTTGCAGCCGGCGAATGAGAGAGCGAAGAAGTCGAGAGAGAGGCAGCGGTGCATTTCAACGAACCGAGTGCGCTGCATTTTAACGAGACAAATAGTTGTGCTCGAATTGCATGCACGCGCGTAAATGTATGCACACATATGTACATCCAAAGTAAACCGACCGGCATTCCTATGGTATACACACACACGCCGCCGGGGCAAAATGCAAATTCGAGTGCCGAGCAGATTGTATGACCAGAGACTAATTGCGACCCGACGGAAATTAATTCGGAATTTCTCCGACGCAAAACTGCAGTAAATCCTTCCTCCTTTTTGCTTAAGACCAAGATGAAACTATTAAATCAATTAAATATTCCATTTCGGCGCAGAAAGCCCACGTCTGGGGGTTAAAAGTAAAGCAATAAAATTCCATTAGGGACAAAAAAGCTTCCCTTGTGCTTTTTATGCATGAGAGAAAAGCAGCTGAATTTACAGAATGTAGTGGGAACGCCTTGAAAGGGAAAAAATCGCTGCTAAATTTAAATAAAATAAAATAATTAAAATTTGATGTTTTTTACATTTTTTGTAACCTCAAACAGAAAATGAAATAGGACAATATTTATGTATATTAATTAGTTTTTTTTCAAATAAATTATTTGATGTTATTCATTTTTGCAGCTCTCAGTTATTCATTCATTTTTGGTATTAAATTATTTTCCATATAAATTATAAAAGCCAACGAAGATTACGAGTAAGAGGAGGGAAAAAATGTTAATTTATTTGATTATCACTCATGGTGGATTTTGCTGATATTTCAATTATTATATAATCATTATAGTAAATAACATATCCACTGTAATTTAACATTAAATTTTAAACTGAATCTTTAATACGTTTAATACTATGCATATTTAAATTATAAAAAATGAACATTAAAAAAAAAATCCTTATTAAAAACTGTTGAAAATACAATTATTATAATGCTTAAAATAACAATTTATCTTTAAATTATGGTTTTATTTTTATCTATAACCTGTTTTCGAATTGTATTTGTAATGAACATAAGAATTTCCACTGCCTCCTTTTTTTAAAAAAAAAATTCACACCACTTTTGCTGATATCAGTCATGTCTTTTAAAATTTTTGACGCTCCACACAAAGCAAGGAATATTAATTTTTGCACGCAAGTAAGGACACAAAAGGTCGGCGTTGTTGTTGGATGGTGAGAGCTCTTCACTCCAGACACCTAGAGAAAAATGGCCCTCCTGCCCGACAAGAGAGAGTGTGTTTGTTCCTTACTTTTTTTACACGGCGGCGACGTGTGCGGCGGGTCACTGACACGTTTGTTTTGTAACTGAAAATTAGTCTAATTTCCGTGCGTTGGAGGCGCGGGGAGGCCAAGGGCATATTATTCCTACCTCACATGGCGCACTCATTGTTTTTAATAACGTTTAAGTGCTTCTTGTCGTATCTCGTCCATCATATTATGACACATAATTAAACCGCCGCCGCCGTAAAAAGCCTTTCTTTCTTCTCGGGGCAACCCCAGCTCGCTCCCCTAGCCATTGTCTCTGGCGATGGTTCCGCGCAATCAAGAAGAATATATACACCCGCCGCCATTAACTATATCAAAGAACTCTCTTTCTCTCGCCCTGCTGAGGAGAAACGCAAACCGACTCAATTAAAAGGGGTTGAGAGTGCCTCCATGTGAGCGAGATATTGGAGCAGCAATTAAATGCCGCAATTGATTCCGTGCTCTCTTTTCAGGGCCAAAATTGCGTTGCGGTCGATTGAGAAATGAAGCAAGGTCGGGGTTCAATTCTGTAGGGATTGAAAAATTGTGAGCAGCTGTACTAAAGTTGAAAGACTTTCAAGTATAGAAAAGAAAATATTTTAAATTAATTATTGATGATATACTTTATATTTTTTCTTTCCAGAATATTAATTCTCGGATGCTGATTGAAAATATAGCTAAAATGACAATTTCATCTGAATTTTGAAGCAAATAATATTTTTTTTTTAAACAAGAATTATCTGTATATACTAAAAATTGTAATATATTTTAAATCATACATAAAATAAAAATTCATAACAATAATCACTGAAAGATTTTTCTAACTCTTTGATTGAATTTTAAATTTAATTTTGATGTAGTTTTTTTTTACAACAAATTGTCCGTGTTTCCACCAGTCCCATGAGTCAAACATGAAAATTAAATTAAAAATTGAAAAAAATCTGATGAAACTTCAGATAATTTTATTTGACAATGATTTGATATAAAAATTTTCAGATATTTCCATTTACTTGAATATTTTTCCTTAATGTCGTTTGATTTTGTCACTGAATTTGTCACCCATTTGAACTTTTGTAATGTGGCGGCAAAGAGCCTCTCTTTACTTTACTCTTTGGCAGCTGCACGCTCGTAAACGAAACTCCATTAGCAGTTGTGTTTTTCTGTGTCCAATTCCGCTTTTATATTTCATTGCAGTCCTTCTCGTTAGTATTAATGTGTGCGTATTCGCTGTGTGGTGTGTGGCAGAAGGTCAAAGCCCACGCAGGCAGGCGTCCACCCTTTCTTTTTTTCAGCGCGATAACTCTCTAAGCAGTCAAGAAGTCGCACATAATCTTTAATCTCGTTCGCACTAAAAAAAGTTATGAGCACCGGAAATGCTCAGAGTCCATACCGAGATTCGAAGTGCGCGGCAAAATTATTTTTCCCAGCCGTTATCGCGTCTTACACACAGGAAAGTATATTTATAAAGATACAACTTGGTGAGCTCAGAATCAATATCTGCTGGCACCGGCGAATTATCATTACAACCATAACACATTTCTTCTCCGCGAGAACATACAAGTCAGATTATTTGCTGATAATTGGACACAAAGTAAAATTACGCAGCTTTGAAAAAAAAGTTCCACAATTTGAAAAAAAAAATATCATTAAAATATAATAAATTCTCAAGCAGAGGAAGATTTAATTTTAAATAATATATTGTATTCTTTCCATTTTCAATAATAATATTTTATTAAGAAATAAAATTTCTCAACTTTGGTAATTTTATTCTTTTTTTTAACTATTTAATTAAACAGCCGAAAAAAGCGTAAAATAATATAAATGTTATTTCCTTCTACAAAATAATAAGGTAATAATTTAATTTTGAATATTTGAATATCAATATTTCAATTGAATTGAAAAATAAGATTGGTATTACTACTAATTAAATTAAAATTGAGTTTCTGGAAAGAATATTTTACAGAAAAATTTCCATAATTATATTACTTTTAATATTTTTTTACAGAACTGAGGAAAATAAATATTCCAGTGTTTGAACACCGAGTTTGTATAGAAGAGACGCCGACGCCAACCGCTCTCGTCAGTGTTTGCCCGGAAGTTGACGAGAGATAACATGGCTTGCCTTCTGTGACAACAATGGCATTAGCGACGCAAGGAATTAAAAAAAATTATAGCGATGATAATATTGCTTTAAAATAACATGAGAGGATGGGTCAGCATTTTCTGATAAAATATCAAGTTCTTATGTAATGGTGAATTTTCAAATTTATTGTAGGTCGTTTTGATAAAGTATAATTATTAGATGA